GTATAAACTCCAAGGGAAACAAGCATAGACAATGAATCTATTGGGCCTACTCTGCCATGCCTCAGTTCACCCACCTATCAAGCAGCCCTAAACAGGCCAAAAAAACTCCTTCAGATCTACAAAAACATATACCTTTTAGTACTCCTGTGTTTATAAATACTAGTCAATATACAACAACAACAGTAAATACTGGTAGCATTATACAATATATATATGCAAATATATATTGGAAATGCAATGTAACTATTGGATAGTTTATTTTCAATTTTGAATAAAATTCACATTTGCCCCAACTCAATCCCAGGCAGTTCCAGATTTTATTTTCCTCAGGTCCTGAGTCCTGTTCACATGATTGTGGTGTATGTTTTTTTACTGATGTACAGTTGATTTATAATGTTGTGTTAGTCTCATGTGTACAGCAAAGTGACTTGGTTTTATACATATATATGTCTGTAAGTCTATTTCTGTTTTATAAATAAGCTCACGTGTATCTTTTTTTGGATTCCACATACAAGTAATATCATATATTTGTCTTTCTCTGTCTGACTTACTTCACTTAATATAATACTCTCTAGGTCCATCCATGTTGATGCAAATTATTTCATTCTTTTTTTTGGCTGAGGAATATTCCATTGTGCATGTACACCACATCCTCTCTATCCAGTCATCTGTTGCTGGTCATTTAGGCTGTTCCCATGTCTTGGGTATTGTATACAGCGCTATGAACACTGGGGTGCAAGTGTCTTTTCGAATTAAGAGTTTTCTCCAGATATATGCCCAGGAGTGGGATTGCTGGATCATATGGTAACTGTATTTTTAGTTTTTAAAGGACTCTCCATACTGTTTTCCACAATGGCTGCACCAATTTACATTCCCACCAATAGGGTAGGAGGGTTCCCTTTTCTCCACACCCTCTCCAGCATTTAATATGTGTGGACTTTTGAATAGTGGCCATTCTGACCAGTGCAAGGTGACACCACACTGTAGATTTGATGTGCATTTCTTTGATACTTAGCGATACTGAGCATCTCTCATGTGACTGGTACTGCATTATTCTTTCCTAGGACTGTAGGTAAAACACCACCCCCGCTCACAGGCCCTTTCAGACGCAGAGACCAGTGGCAAAGAATCACAGGTGCCTCTACTGACCTGATTTACCATCTGGTGCTGCTGGACAGTTCTCTTCTCCTTAAATTCTTCTGATTCTATATGAATCTCATACATTGCCCCACAGCCTCCTGAAATAAATGCAATTTGAAAGTGTTTCAATTATTTACAGCAGCCACAGTTCCTTATGTCCTTGAAGTAAGTACCACATAATCCAAACAAGGTCTGAATGTTACTATTCAGCAGAAAGTTGCTAAGACTGTTAGAAACAGATCACGTCCTCCTCCTGGTAGGAGGATCCAAAACGAGCTCCTCCTTTTGCAAGGCACTTGCACTACCCAGGATCATTGCTTCTGGGGTAGAAATGATAAGGCACACAGCATGCAAAACCTAGGAAATGGAGGTTTTCCTAGTATTCCCTTTTAGTGGGGAGGGTACAGCTCAGTGGCAGAGCACATGCTTAGCATGCACGAGGTCCTGGGTTCAATCCCCAGTCCCTCCATTAAAATAAATAAATAAACCTAAGTACCTCCCCCTAACCCCCAAACAAAACAAAACAAACAAAAAACCTTAGTATTTCCTTCTATGAAGCCAGCAAATGCCATGGAAGAGGGTGAGAGGGACTGAATTTCAGTATTCCACCTTCCAAAGGACCAGCAATCGGTATTGTTAATGCAAAAATACGCTAACATCGGTTTGAAAACCGTGTGTAATACTATCCCAAAGAACAGGAACAAGGAAGCCTGAGAGAGATGGGGACGCAGCATCACAATAAACTAGCTAAAGACAGAATGGCCCCTGGAGCATCCTGGGCTGCAGCAGGGAGGGGGCGGCTTTCTGGGGACGCTCTCAAGGCAGAGCGTGTATGGGACCCATCTACCCCCAGCCCACGCTTTGTCTCCACAAGGCTGGATGACTGATAATAAATGTGCCGCTCTAGCACGAAACAACGTGGGCAAGAAAACGTCCCCAGTGCTCTTAACACCAGGCTGTTTCATGACAAGTGCCTCAGTGGGTGCTGTTAAGATTCTCTCTAGTTACCTAGGAGGTTCCTGGCCTGATTCCCTTTCTGCACTCTACCTAGGGCTGAGCAGAGCCAGACTGGAGGTCAAGTTCCAACTCCGCCCAAACTGGGCCTGGGGCACATCCAGGACTGGTGACATCAAGACCGCAGCGCTGCCCTGGGACCCCTGACGGGGCTCACCCAACCTACCATTCCAACAGAGCTTTAGCTTGGTTAATTTCCTGTCGTTTCCAGAATAAAAACTACTTTCTAAGCTTTCTCCCAATCTTTGTAAACGTGATGTTGTCAGAGAAGCCAGGGAGCCCTCCAGGCAATGCAGAGTGACAAAGACGGTGTCTGGGTGGGGGGAGAGGCAGGTGGATGCCCACCTCGCCACCGCTGGCCAGCCTTTCCATTTGAGTCTAGATAAGGGCCTTGTCTTCTCCATCCTGTGGGTGCAGAAGCTGACTTCCCAGCCTGCTCCTAACTCAGAGTCAGCCTGAACTTCTGAGGGGCCAGCAGCCATTTGGGAAAGGCAGGACCTGGCTGTGGCTGGTAACTGGGCTCAGGACAGAGTCTGTCCTGGGTCCTGGTTCTGCTGCCTCCTCCTCATGAGGGGCTGGGCAGGTTCCTAGGACTCTCTGGGGTCATCTCCTCATGGGGAAAATGAGGCAACTGTGTTCCTCAAAAGGACAAAATCTTCCTGGGGTCTGTTCCAGCTCTGACATTCTAAGGTGTCAGAAGAATGTGGGGAAATTTAAGGCTTATCTTGAAGTCAAATTAAAGATTGTGGACCTGTGGACCCAGGGTGACTGACAGGGACCCCATCTGAGCTGGGCCTGACTGGTAACCATGAGTCCTCACAGCTGAGCCTTGTCCCCAGTTTCCCTCTGATGTTTTGACACCCCCACCTCCACTCCATCAGGTGGGAGGGGCTGAATTCTATCTGTCCAAAAGCTACACAAGCTGAGAAGCCACTGATGGCAAGTTTCCCCTGAGCCCGCTGCCCTCTGCTCATCCAGCGGTAAAATCCTACCAGACTCCGTGGGAAAGATGAGAGAGCCTTACCTGAAATGTCGGTGACTTTGATAGCTGTAGCTCGAGGAAACTTTTCTTTGAGAATTTGGGTCACCTTGAGCTCCCCCTCGGTCTGCGAGGCAAACATCCGCTGGGCACAGTGGAGAAGAGGAAGCTGTCGCAGAACAGAGGCGAGTCACTGAGCAGGCCCCGCCTGCCCGCCCCCTGCAAGGCAGGGCCCTGGATCAAGTCAGAGGGACTGCCTGGTGACCCATGTCCATTTAAGGTCCCCAGGATACGGAATAAACTTCTTTTTGAGGGGGGAGTGGAACTGTAAATAACTCACTTCTGACTCGAGAGACAATAAGGCCCCAAACTGAATTCAAGAGATGTTTAACTCCTCATGGTCATGTTGTGAGAGAGACACTATCATGATGGCAATTTTATAAGTGAGGAAACTGAAGCACTGGTAATGTGCCCAAGGCTGGATCCGTTAGCAAGATGCAGAGCCAGGAGAGGCTGGGCATCCCGGCTCAGGTGTGCCCCGCTAGGCCAGCGTGCCACTGCCAATGCACTGATGGGGCCAGATGTCACCCACCCTTTGGGCCTGATTAACATTCCACACTCTCTCCAGCGGGATGTAACCCTGTGACCTACTGCTCAGCGAGCCAGCTATCCTTTGCATCTCTACTGGGGAGAAGAAACATAACTCTAGTAAAGAAACCTGAAAGATAGACATTTTTAGATTATTCACCATTGGCCGCAACACTCTCCCCTCCCCCAGTGGCTGCCATAAGGAGCCAGTGCTTCTGATGGGAATGTGTCTCAATGCTTAGGGGTGAAGGAGCAGAAAACCAGGTCGGAGGCCCCTTGGCTGGGTTGAGCACATGCTGAAAAGAGGGTCTGAAAACAGAGCATGGCAGGCCTTGAATGTCAGGCCAAAGATTCTGGACTTTGTTAGACAGGCTCCTTGGTGCCCAAGTAACAGTACCTTTTGAAGCTGGTCAGGAAAGATGACCAGATGATAGAAGCATTACAAAGGAAGTGACTGAAGGATGGTGGGTGGAGCGCTGTTCATTAAGCGCTGGTGCCGAAGGTACCATGCCCTCACCCGCTCAATGCTGCCCATCCTCAGGCCTTTCCTGATGGCCAGACCAGGGCCTGTGTCACAGACTCTCAGAGCACTTTCTTTAAAATCACCTGCGCACTGACTCTTTCACCAACCAGTCTTCAGAGGCCAAGACTGAGTCTGTCCTGTTACTGCAGTCTTCCAGAGCTGAGCCAGGGTAGGCACTCAGGAGGACTCCGGTGATGGATGGATGGATGGATGAATGAATGAGCAGGGAAAGAATCACATGATTCAGGGCATACCTACTGTGAACCCGCAAAGAAGTCCCGATTCCAGGGGCAGCTGAAATGCAGGTCAGGAGAAAGATCTGGAGGGAGACAGTGCTGTACAGAGGGACAGAAACTTTATGTTGTGGGCCTGTGTAAGACTAGGGAGGGAAGTGGGACCTCTTCTAAAGACAGGGCCCTGGAGGGCAAAGGCAGAGGGTAGCCAGGTGGCAGGCAGAAGCAGCAATCACTAAGGGGTGAGGGTGGTAGCACCGTTGACTCCTCGGGGAAAGCCTTCTCTCATCTTAGCTGATTTGCAGGCAGTGGCCTTGAACTAGCAATCTATTGACAAAAATCTCCAGAGTGCCGACTGTCCATGCTGAAAGTCACCAGCAGAACTGCTCTTCATGCTTGCAGAGGCAGGTCCCAGAGAAGGAGGGATGTGAGCGGAAAGCCAAAGAAGTGGATGAAGGCAGGAAAGGATGCATCAGAAAGGAGGAGAGAGCGCGTAGTGAGTGCCCTCTGCTGGCCTCCTACTCCGGGAGTGTGGGATTTGGGGAGGGTCAAGGTCACAGAAGCCGGGCGGACGTTCCGGAGCTGCGCCCCAGCCACAGTCCCCGGCACGCACGCCGCGACTCCGGGTTCTGACTCCCACGTCTTCGGCTCGGTAAGTCAGCGCTGTCTTCCCGCGTCCGCTGTGCTGTGACTGTTTCCTTGTCTGTTCCCCTCGCCCTCCACTCCCAACCCGGTTCGCGAGCTCCCCCGGCGCGCGCCGGGCCTGACACTTCTCCAAACGGCCGCAGCCGGGCCCCCAGAATGACGAACCGACGAATGAATGGCTGAGAGAGAAAGGCAGGGGAAGCCCGGGCCCGGCGCGCCGCCCTCCGCGAGCGCGTTCTGCAGCCCCGGCCCCGCGCCGCTCCCGCCCGGGGAAAGCAGCCCGGTCCCCGCCCGCGCTCACCCCGCGTGTCCCGCGGAGTAGAGGCGCCGCCGCGGCCGGGCTCCACGCCGCCATGCCCGGCCGACGCGCCCGCCGCCCGAGTCGCCGCTGTGGGTCCTAAAAGGCGCGGAGCCCCGGGACCAGAGCCGCCGCCGCCGCCGCCGCCGGCGAGGCCGCCCCCTGCCGTCCGGAGGCCGCGAGTCGCCCGGCCCGCTCAGGGCCCCCCTCAGCCCCAGCTCACACCCCGGGGCTTCTGTTGCCTCCCAGGCCTCGGTCCGGGCGGGTCCTTCCTCCTCCGCCTGGAAGCCGGTCCGAGATACTCAACCCAGGCCCTAGATGGAACGCCTCCCATTCCCACTCCACACGCGGCAACCGGCTGCTCAACTGAGGCGCCTGGCTTTCTCCCTCCAGGAGGGAGCCAGGGAAGAACCTTAAGGAGGGGAGTCGTTTTCAGATTTGCATGTTAGAAAGATCACTCTGGCTCCTGCGATAAGCGGAGACAGCAGGGAGCTGAAAACTGGAGATGAGGACTGAAGTCCCGAGACTACTGCAATGGTCCAGGTGAGACTTGAAGCCGGAACTGAAGGAATGACGCCAAGGATAGGAGTGGATTGAGACACCTGGGAGGTGAATGGACTGGCGTGACCGCATTGGCGGGTGAGGGGATGAAGGTGTCAGGGATGACTCTCGGCTTTCCGGCTTGGACAGTGAAATTGGGAGAGGCAGGCTAGGTTTGGAGTGAAGGGGGTTCACTCACTCCGTTTTGGATTTGCCTGAACTTAAGACGTCTGCAGGACATGGCCGAGCAGAGGCGGAGGCTGGAGCCACAGACCTTGGAGTCTTGAGAATGCAGTGGAAACTGACACCATCAGGGACAGGTAAGGTTGTGGGCAAACCTGTCCTGCCTCTGGAATACTTTAGACAGTTGTCAAAGCCAGAATTCAACCAAGCCTTTTCTTTGGCAGCATTTGTTTGCAGCATGTGGTCTAGTATACCCTGAAGCATGTACCAGCTCTTTTTGCTATTGCATTCTGGACTATAAAATCAGTATGTTCAGTGTTGCACTTGGATGGGTTGTGTAAGCAAATACAGTAGAAGAGAATCAAGCATGGCTTTGTCAAGCAAAAGATAAGCCATTTCTGGCCCAGGTCATTTTGTGATCTAAGCCTGGCCACAACGCTTGCCTCGAAACAGGTCTCAGTAATTAATGGTCTTAAGGAAACAAAAGAATGCAGGAACAAATGACTGTTACCAGGCAAGAGAAGTAACAATGGCAAAGATAATAACTGTTGGTAAAGATTAGCCTGGATTATGCTCTGGAGGTGTTTTGCAGAATTCAAGCCCCTCACCCTCACCCTGCCCCGCTCCAGCAGTCAGTCACAAGATCAGCTGGACTTAAGGAATGATGGTTTTGACCTTTCTTGAGCCTCGTGACTCCAATCAACTAAAACTTGGACTCTGTCAACCTTTGCCCCAATTCTAGACTGAGTTCTGATCTGCTCCACCCCCACATGAATGTGCATGTACCCTTGGCTTAAAAATTCCTCAATTTTACTGTTCCAGGAGACACTGCTTTGGGAAATATCCCCAGTGTTTTCTTACTTGCTGTAATAAATCCTTCCTTCTCCTGCTCTTTGACTTGGATGTATCATTTGGCTTGACACCCACTAAGAGGCAAACCCTGTTTTCAGGTTAACAGTTAGACAGACCTACAGTTGGATAGACCTACAGTTGTTCTTCAAACTGATCAGCCAAAAATACGCTCATTCATTCCGGTACCAGTCGAGTGATTCCTATGACTAAAAGGAAAACTGCAGGCCCCAAACGGAGTCGGTTATGCTAGGCCACACCACCAAATGGGCTTAATATGTAATGCAATTAAAGTTTCAACCTCTGCCAGAAATGCAGTCTTAACTGGTCGGTCAGGAATTTTCTGGTCAACATCAATGAAGTAATCTATCATACAGACCCATCCCATTCCCCACAGGTAGGTTACCTACACCTAAAATAATCTTTTTTTGACTTCCTTATCTTGCCTTTAAAAACCTTTCCCTTTCTGTAGTCCTTTGGCTGTTGCCTGAATCACAGATCATTCAATAAAACCAATTAGATCTTTAAAATTCGCTCAGTTCAATTTTGTCTTTTTTACTGTTTTAACTCTAAGAATTTTTCCTCTCTCACAGTTTTTGCTTGAGTCCTTAAAAATTACGGATGGTGGGATTAGGGATGAATTGCTCATCTTTCATTTTTCTTCACACATCTAACTAAAATTGCCAAAATAACTTTTTCTAGTCTACAGTAGCAACCACTTCTGCTACTCGGACCACGTGGTTCATATGAGGCGGACCCCCTTGTCAGCTCTAGGAGTGGTCACATGACCCAGGTCTGACCAATCAGATTGGCTTTGGGCTGGTCACATGATCTGAGCCAGACTAAAGGGAGCCTGTCTAGGGACTTGCCCAGAACTAAGGAACATAAAGGATTACTTGCCACTGGATTGCTAAACTGGTAGAAAGCCTACTTTTGGCGACCATCTTTGCAATCACGTGGGCAGTGCCACTTTGGACATGAAGCAGACAGACGAAAGGAGAGCTGAGAGGAGACATATTTGACATCCTTTGTGCAACTGGAAACAAGCAGTGCCAGAAATGAGAGCTTAAGTCATTTTAGTTGGTTTTGTTATTTGTAACTAAGAGACCAATGTTAAACTCACTGATTTGTATTTGCAAAATTTCTCCTTTCCTTTATTGAAAGTCAGTATTTTTGCTAATCTCCAGCCTTCATCCCCATAATTTAACAGCAGCTCACATTGCTATTTTGGACCATCACTCTGCTTTGGTATTCCCCTCTTATCCTCAGTTTTCCACACTGCCATCAGAGCCATCTGAAATGAACACTTGTCCTTTATTTCCTTCTCTAAAAGCCTTCAGCCTCATCATCACCTACAGGTAAAAATCCAAGATCTTCCTTTGATCGAACCGCCTATCTACCTTTCCAACTGAAATGTACCCTTAGCTAATACTAGACTGCTTCCACTTCCTTAGACAAACTATGCAACAATTTTGCTTATGCGGTAACTACCCATCTTTCAAGCCAGTTCAAGCCTTGTCTTCCCCAGGGAGACACCTCTGACTGACCCACAGTAAAACTAAGGGCCCACAACGTGCACATAACTTTTATTACACAAATGGCCCTTTAGAACTATCAGTTTACGCATATGTCTGCTTTTTCCACTGGTCCATGAACTCCATGACACGTTCTTGCTTTAACAGTAATCTATGTCAAAGGTCCAGCATGGCACGGGACAAAAGGGCTGTGATTGCTGAACAAAACTGACAGTGGTTTGGCAATTCTGGCCCCACGGTGTGAATCTGAACCTTTTAGAAAAAGGATTTTCAGGACAACCTCACCATCTTGGGCTTCCAAATGAGCTCCAACTTTAACAGTTCACAGATAATTTTTTATGCTAGAAGCAATAAAAGGCCAGTTTTACCTTATGATTAGAAGTGTAATGCCTTTAGTCTCAAGAAATGGGTCTATCCCTTCTGCATTTTGCTTTCTGTCCTGAACTTGAGTCTCTTCATTTTATCGGTCCATGATCACTCCGTTTTCATCCTTGTATTTACATCTGAGCTAACTGCAGAAAAGTCCTTGAGTAGGATCTATTTGGGTACATCTTTTTTTTTTTAACTTCACTGGGATGATTTTTAATTTCAGTCAGTTTACTTTTATAGAGCCTCCAAGCTAGTCCTGAGCACACAGAATTTTCACAGAAGCAACACTCAAGAAGAGATCTGCCTTTCCATGTCTTCAGAGTCTGAGCTTTTGTGACACGGTCTAAAAAACAGAATTCCTAACATATCTCTCAAATGCCACCCCCTCCCCAGGTTGCTGTAAGGATTAAATGAGATAAACCCCCTAAAAGACTTCCCCAAATCAGGTAGGTTCCTGTAAGGAAGTGATATTCAAACTGCTGGTCAGCAGCAAGATACAGCGCTCGGCCAGAATCTGAATCAATAATCTATTCCCTTCAGTTAGCAAATCTGCTACAAAAAAAAGAGAGTCAGCTGAGCTAAACAGTACACTCCGATACTTAAATTTTAGTGAAAACTCCTCATCTTTTCACACAACAGGAACAAAAAGTTCACAGAGCAGCAGCCTGTCCAAGCTTTTGGAGCATCCAAGATCTTTCAAACTACTTGCTATGAGCTCTTAACCTCCAGAATCTTTTTCTTAGCCCCTCTTGCAGCCAGGACAGAGGTATGTGACCTAGAATCTGCCAACCAAAGGCGCCCATTTAAGGTTTTGATTAGGAAGAAACACAAAAGGAAGAATGTGCTAGGTGAAATCCTTTATTCTGGTCAAGGCAGATGAATCTAGCTTTTGGGGGGAGCGAAGGCCAACTGACATCTAGTGGCCAGCGATGAGTAACAACGCAGGCTATCATGTCGGGTCCACACCTAGCCCGACAGCAGTGGGTAACGCCAGAGAAGGCCCACGGCGTGGTTGGGACACTGTTTCTGGCTGTGCAGCTTCCAAGCCAGACTCTGGCCTTCCCAGATGTTACTTCAGTTCTTCTTCTACTCATTTATAAAGTTTGAAATAGCTTCAAACTTTAGCCTTAAACACCCTTGCAAACTTAACACTTTGGCCATACGTTTTAAGCTTACTGAAAAAACAAAAAACACAACTATATTTAAAAAAAAATCCAGAACTTGATTGCTAGCTTACCGTACCTTTACATAAAATGAGTGTTAACCTGTATTCTTTAGTCACATTCGTTAAGTTTTTAATTTTAACTCCATTTTAAAAAGGTCAAAACAATTCTAGCACTGCTATTTTGAATAGACCTAAAATTAGGCACCTGTAACCTGGATCTCTAAAAATAACTCTAGTACTAATAGTAATAACAAACGGCTGTTTGGAATAGGGGTGTCCTATGGTTCTGCTGAGGACTCAATTTCCAGGTCAGAAAATTAATGAGTGCAGTCTCTCCGCATCCCTTTTCTCAGTCTCACAACCGTGAATGTGCAAAGGAGGTCAAGAGCTTGGTTAACGTGGTAAAAAGGAGACCACCTTATTTTTTTCTGGGATGAGTTTTAGCCACTGCAGGCAGAGGCATCGTTTCGCTTCTTGGGGGTGGTATCCTGGTGTTATAAGACGTTTAGTTCATTTAGGAACTTCCCTTTCTTCTGAGAGTTAAGAAAACATTTTAGCTACTAAACGATAAGCAAAGAACCTTCCCCAGAATCTGCAAAAATCTCAAGTTTCACATTTAAATAGAAATGAGTGTGGTGAGACATACTTTCATCAGTCCTTTCTTTCTTTCAATATATTTTATTCTGATGAAGTTACAAAAGTAGATACAAAATATTTTTTTAAAAGTACAGTTAACTAACTTAGAAAAATAGATAAAGCCCCTAAAGGTTTAAAAATACAAAATAAATTTTCATGTAAAGAACATTTAAAAATAGATGATAACCAAGACTAACTTAAGCAAACTATTTTTGATACAGACCAAACACAGAATGTTGTTCTATATTAAATCTATAGCACAGCGGTAATCCATCTGGATTTACAGGATACTTGTATGGAACAGAATCTGACAGAAAACCCAAGTGAATCAATGCAGTTGCTCCAATGAAATTACTGCCACCACAGGTAATAATATCACCCCCCAAAGCCCTTTACAGTCTGAAATATCAAAATCTAACGCAAAACCACAGGAAGACGGAGGGATTATCTGCCCTCTTTGCCAGAATTCTGCAACAGTGAAAAACCAAATCCAGTTACTGAACTGGTATTAGGAGGAAATAATGTCCCTGTTCGAGCCACTTAGTTTAGTGTCCCAGCTGGTATTTTCAAGCTGGAGTTCCACAGACAGGAGAGACAGGCAAGGGTGACCCCAGCACCACGACTGGAGCGGCTTAAAAACAAATTTCTAGGACTTCTACTCTTTGGGCCGGATTTATTTATGCTTATGAGGTAATGAATGATGTTCTGTTTAGAAGCTCCACTGTTAATGTGACCTCACTGCTCAGAGAGAAGGCGGACAGTATCATCAAGAAGCCTCAGCAATGCTTGTAAAAGTTAACAGCCACAACAGGGATCGCTTCTCCTGCCTCTGCACTACTGGAAAAACATTCCTCTTGCTGTTATCAATGTCATAATAAATACAGATGTGCACTTCTCAAGAAGGCAGCTATATGAACTAGGGCCCTACAAGCCTTAGATGAGAGGAAATACTGTTAGCTGGCAGCCTGCTAAAATCACTTTATTCACAGTCTGAAGAAGAATAAAGGATACATTTGCTTGTCAATACAAAAACTATAGTACAAGGAAGTTTCAATATTTAAACGAAAGTCTGCATATCATTGTCCAAAAGTTTTTTTAAAGGCCCGGAAATTAAAGCACCACAGGATTAACTGGGTAATTTGGCAAACACTGTCCAATCCATCGCTGTACTCAGGTGTGGGGGGCGGCGGTTACACTGAGGAGCCTGCTGATTAGGAGAGGGCAGGGGAGTAAGCATCATGCGACAGGCAGGCTCTGGGACAGGGAGATAAATCAAGATGGAGAGGAGTCAAAGACAGGCTGATTTCTTTTTCTTTCTTTTTAAATTTTGGGGGGG